TTGACATTGGCGATTTTGTGGAAGCGCATCTTGCCTTTGTCTGGCCTGGGCAGCCTCTCTCCTGGGTGTAAAAGGAGGGGTCAGGGGTCAAAGGTCACAAGAAGAAGCTGAAGACATTGTCCTCCAACTTCCCCCTCCCCCACCACATCCCCTCCAGGTTCTCTCCTGTTTCCCCAGCTCCCTGGATTCCCCTAGGTCCTGGGGTCCCCATGCCTTGATTTGCACTCCTCACCTGAAATGACCTCCAAGAGCAACATGAGCTTGAGGCCATTGCGGAAATCCTCCTCCATGTTTTCAATCTGGGTGCCAGCCTTGCGCAGGTGTGAGTTGCACCAGGCAGTGAAGGTCTGGGGGCAGAGACAGCACTGAGACCCTAGCCCTGGGTCTGGGGACATCGGGGTAGGTCTCGGAGCCCCCGCCCCAGAGTCAAGTCCTGGCTCAGCCACTGACTTGCTGTGCATCCAGGACCCAGTCCCTTTTCTCCCTGAACTTTCGTTCTCCTGGAAAAGGACACGTGGGCTCTAGGGTCCGCGCAGTCCCAGTTTAGACTTGGGGTATGCCAGCTTTGGCCCGTCTCAAGCACTGGAGGGGGTTTTAGAAAATTGTAAAGCATATGCTCCAAAGCGTGGGGACCCTCTGACACACAAGGGCCAATGCAGGGTGATAATTGCCCTTCTAAGGCCTGCAAAATTCTGGACCAAAGCCTACCCAGTTCTGAGGGTCTTGCCTGAGGGATTGTGCACCTGTATTACTGTCCTCTCAGCCCCACTGACCGCCCAGGGCTGTTGTGAATGGGCCTCCAAGTAGAACGCGAGGGTACAAGAGCTTTGCAAGTCATGGAGGACCAGCTGGGCACAAGGACCAGCCTGACCCAGTTCCTGGAGGTGACTGCCTTCCCCTCTCCCTAGAGGCAGCCTCAGCCTCAGCCTCCATCGGGGACGGGAGGGCTGCTATGCAGCTCTGTCTCTATTGGGGGTGGGGGTGACCTGAAGCCTGATAGTACATTTCCACCAACGTTCGAAGCCCTCAAGCCCCGCGTTCTGCCATCATCTGTAGGGTCCTTGGTAGGGTCTATACTTGGGCTCCAAGCCCAGCTGAGATGCTCACTCACTGTGACCTGGAGTATGCCCTTTGCCCTTTCTTGGGCTCAGTCTCCCCATTTGCATAATTAACTGGCCAGACTTCATGATGTCCCAAGGTCCTTCTTCCTCCAATCTGGTAGGATTCTAGAGTTCAGAGCATTCCCCCCACCACAAAGCAATTAATCCTGGGAGATGACCCTGGAAGTTATTTGGAATTATTTCCCTCACCCAGCTTCCCTTCCTGAGACCAGCTTTTCAGCTGCCCTAGAAGCTGGACATGAAAGATGATGCTTTAAATATGTGAGGGACTGTCATTGCTGAGGAAAGGGAGTGAGCTTCCTATCACTGGAGGTGTATAAGCGAGTGCTGAACACTACTCGATGGGTACCTAAGCACAGGAGAAGGTAGTTGGATTCTCCGTAGTTCCCTCCAGCCCTAGAGTCTGAGATGCTCTGGGTCTAGATAAAGCAGGGGGAAAGGCGGGACTGGGTGGGGCTTCCATGGTGGAGGAAAGGGCATCCTTCCATTTGACAAACACGACTTAATAAGATGTAGTCCCTGCCCTATAGGAGCTCGCAGTCAATCAAAGGGTCATGTTGGTCTGAGAAGTGCTGGAAGAGACTAGTGTCAGGGAGAAGAGGGATTCAGATCAGGTGGGGGACCTCTTGGGGAAAGCTAATATTTGATGTGAGCTGCAACGGAAAAGCAGGAGTTATTCGGACAGAGAAGGGCAGGCAAGGGCATTTTGCAGCCACACAGGCAAATGCTCAGCAGTGAGAAACAGCTGCCAGGTCTGTGGGGTTACAGTTATCTGGGTGCCACTGGAATGAAGCTGGGGGTGTTGGGGTATAAGTGGTGAGAGGCAGGCCGGAGGGGCAGCAGGGGCCAGGTCATGCACGATCTTGGGTGCTAAGCCAAGGAGTTTCAACTTGATCCTGAGGGCAACAGGGCATCAGGGAAGATTTTGGGCAGAGGGAGGTGGGCAGAACCATGTTTTAGAAATCTCTTTCTGGTGGCAGAGTGGAGGCAAATGGCTTGGCAGAGCAGGAGGGAGAAGTGAGAAGGTGACGACTGGGATGGGGTGAAGGGGTAGGGGGGAGAGGCGGGGAGGAAGGGTGTCAGGAAGGGTCAGAGCGATGGGATAGAAACACTCTTCCTTGCTGAAGTATAAGCTTCCTAAGGCAGAGGACTTATTTTGTTTCCTGCTGAAGTCCTGACACCTAACACAGTGCCTGGCCCCGAGTAGGAGCTCCCTAAGAAATACTGAATGAATGTTTTGGGATGAGGTTGAATGAAGAGGACTCAGGCATCAGGCAGGAGCTGGAGGGAGACACCAGGGGGAAGGGCAGGTGTAGGGCGGGGCTAAGCTGAGTACAGAGATGCTCAGGCTGGAGGAGAAAGAAACTCCGGAATGGCCAACTTCCAGGGATGCTGATTAATTTACAGAGCATCTACGGTTGTGCAGCCGTTGAATGAATGGATGAAGTGGGTGGCTGTAGGTTGGGTTGGAAGGGTATTCCTGATATTTTGTTAAATGATGCAGGCAAGTTACAGACTAGTGTGTGTCTCATGAAGGGCATGTGGACCTGGATCTGAGGGAAACCTGGTGGGTGCCAAGCAGATGGCAGCTGGAGCCAGGGGCAGGGATGACATCACTGGGAGACTGCCAGACCCAAGGACCGCAGCCCTGCTTGGAGACAGGTGCAGGAGGAACCAGAGGGGAAGCATGTCACCCGGGGCACTCCAGCCTAGTCAGCTGAGCCTCCCGGACTCTGGGGTCATCTCCTGTCATCTAACCCAGTAGAAGTGCTCTGATTCTAAATCCTGGGATTCTCAGATCCTGCAAATTCCACTGAGCACTCCTGTTCCCTGCCCTTTCCTGGAGACACACACTGTTGGCAAATGCTCAGCAGGGTCCAATGACTTCACGGCGTCCTCCCTCCCCCTGGCCTGCCACTCCCCAAAGTCTCCTCACTCCAGCCCGGATCATTTTCTCTTTTGGGAACCCAGGTGTCCTGCCCCCTCCACTTGGGAAAGTCTGGGAGTGAAAATAGATCAGGGAGGGGGCCCCAGTGCCCTACAAGGCTGGGCCTGGGCAGCAGCTGCCCATGTGCCCCACTCCAGCTTCCCCAAGCCGCTGCCTCAGCACAAAGTGTCCATCTGGCCGGAGAGTCAGGTTACTGTGTAAGGGGACCCAGGCTCCCCTCCTCCTTGACCTTGTGGCCTTTTCAGCAGACTTAGGGCCCCTGGGTTGGGGGGGTATCTTGGGAAGGAGTGGGGGTGGGGCAAGCAAGGGGCAAAGACCCTCAGGTTGTGGGGGGGGGTCCTGTTTTCTGACAATATATGATTTGGGTCCTATCTCTGCCCCTTTCTGGGCCTCAGTTTCCTCATTTGACAATTGGGATGGAGTGGCAATGAATCCCAGGGTGGAGAGAATAGAGAGGAGAGAGTGGGGAGGGGTCTGGGATGGTTCTCTCCTCCCCCACACTCCCAAGTCCACTAGGTGCCGGCTGCAAGTCCTCAGGGTGGGGTCTAAGATATTTAACTAGAGAGTCAGGGGCCTGGGGAGAAAGATTATTTTCCCGACACCCCCCAAACTTGGATCTCCTGGGCTTCACCCAACCCCTTTTCGCCAGCAGAAGTGGGACAGTGGGCCCAGGGTAATGAACTCCCGGGGGGTGGGACCCCAGAAACTCTCCTTGTTATCCTAAACCCCTCATGAGGGCTCCCAGCCCTCTCTTCCAGCTCTGGGAGACAGCAGAGGACTGATGGGCCGAGCTCGGGCTAGGGAGTGGCACTCTGGGTCTAGACGGACTCTGCCCCCGACTCGCTGAGTTGCCAAGGACAAATCGCCCGGATTCTCAGGCCTCAGTTTTGCCATCTGGAAATGGGTGAGCACTCACTTTCCGCTGCTGCTTCTCCCAGGCCGGGTCGAGCAGTAGGTCGCGGTCCCAGTCCTCCTCCTGTTCCATGTACTCGCCGCCCCCGCTGCCGCCCACGAAGGGCCCCTCCCCGACCCCCAGACCCTCGGGCTGCATCACCATCATCATCTTGCTCGGGCTCCTGGCTCCGCTCCGCTCGGCGCTCTCCGGAACACCGGGGCCGCGTTAAGTAGCGCCCGGCCCAGTCCCGGATCGAATTCGCGCTAAATATGGGGGAGGAGGGTGGGGCCGGATGAGGGCGAGGGCGCTCGGGTCGGGACCAGGCAAGAGGTTGCCCTGGGACCAGAGGACTGCAGGATTTGGGGGCGCTGGGGTGGATCCCAAGGCGGAGATTCGGGGTTCCCGTTCTGGCTCCGCCTCTTGGGCGCTGTGTGACCGTGAGAAAGCCATGGCCCTCTCTGTTTCCTCACGTGTGCAACGGAGATAACGATAATAGTAGACTGTAGACCGCTCTAGAAGCTGTCCCTTAGGCCTCCTCCTGACCCTCTCCTGGTGCCGCGCAGGTGGGAAACAGAGAGCCCTATCCCCATTTCACAGTCAGACACACCGAGGCGCCGACCTGTTTGAATGTTTTCTGGGGTGATGGAGACACTCGAGCATGGGGAGGGGTTCCAGGCCGGCTGGATGAGGCGATGCAGGGCTATTAATATCGGGGCGGCTGGGGGCTGAGGGGGAATGTGCTGAGCCGGGAAACCCCGACGCCACCGAAGACTGCAACTCAATCCTCCAAACCCGCCAGCGAGACCAGAGGGCGGGGCTTCTGCGGGGGCGGGGCTCCGCGGCTGGGCGTGGCTATAACGTACTGCCCTACCCGGCTCTAGCGCCAACGGGATTCCAAGCTTCTCCGTGGCTCATGCGGCCGTCCAATCACATGCCTGCATCTGCCGGCAGCTCCCGGTGACTCGAAACTCCCTTCGGAGCTTCTATTGGTCGTAGCAGGCATCCGTCTGCCACTATCCCCGCCCCAATACGGAAGCGGAGGGGTACGCGGGATCCGACAGCCGGTGGGTCCAGGCCATGGGGCAGCTCTGGGCGGTGGGGAGCGCGGAGGGGACGCCCGCGCGGCTGCCTCTCGTGCTCACTGCGCTGTGGGCCGCGGCTGTGGGCCTGGAGCTGGCCTATGTGCTGGTTCTGGGTCCCGGGCCGCCCCCGCTGGGACCCCTGGCTCGGGCCTTGCACCTAGTGCTGGCCGCCTTCCAGCTGCTCAACCTGCTGGGCAACGTGGGGCTCTTCCTGCGCTCGGACCCCAGCATCCGGGGCGTGATGCTGGCCGGCCGCGGTCTGGGCCAGGGCTGGGCGTGAGTGGGGCGCGGGATCTGGGGGCTGGCGCGGGGTTGGGGGGGAAAGCAGGAGCCTTGGACAGGGGGAGGTGCCCTAGAACCAGAAGATATTAGAACCAGATTACAATAGGATCCGCTTGTTAGAGCCAGAACACTCTTTTACAGCCTGGGATGGTAGATCCAGAAGAAATATCATTCATTCACTTACAAATATTTAATGAGCACCTACTATGTGCAAGGTACTGTTCCGGCCACTGAAGGTTCAATAAAATAGATTCCTGACCTCCTGGAGCTGATTTCAGTGGGGGAGGAGGCAGATGATAAGCTACAGGCATAATAAATAAGGAAATTATATAGAGTGTTAGAAGATGGTGGTATGGAAACAAAAAGTAGAGCAGGGTAAAGGGTGTGCAGGTTGCAGTTTTAAATAGGGTAGTCAAGGTAGGCATTTGAGCAAAGACTTTAAGGATGTGGGGGAGTTAGCCATGTGGGAATCTGGCGGAGAGTGTTCCAGGTAGAGGGGACGACAGTGCAAAGACTGAGGCAGTTATGTGCCTTGCATGTTCAGGAACAGCAAGAAGGCCAGTGTGGCTGGTGTGGAGTGAGAAAGGGAGGGGAGGGAGGGTAGAGATAGAAAGACCTTGTGGGACATTGAAGGTTTAGCTTTTTACTGGCAGTGAGATGGACAGCCATTGTAGGGTTTTGACTTAGATTTTTTTTTTTTTAATTTTATTTATTTGAGAGAGAGAGGGCATGAGAAGGGGGGAGGGTCAGAGGGAGAGGCAGGCTTCCCGCTGAGCAGGGAGGCGGACATGGGACTCAATCCTGGGACTCCAGGATCATGACCCGAGCCAAAGGCAGTCGCTCAACCGACTGAGCCACCCAGGCGCCCCTTGACTTAGATTTTTAAGGATCAGCCTGGCTGCTGGGGTGAGACCATAACCAGGAGGAACCAAAGCTGGAATCAATCAGGGAGAGTCGTTAAAAGAGTCTCAAGCAGTCGGGCGCCTGGGTGGCTCAGTTGGTTGGGCGACTGCCTCCGGCTCAGGTCGTGATCCTGGAGTCCCGGGATCGAGTCCCACATCGGGCTCCCTGCTCGGCAGGGAGTCTGCTTCTCCCTCTGACCCTCCTCCCTCTCAT